CATTTAATTTGCTTCATTTACACGACTACTTGAATTTTTCCCAGGTTAGTTGCGCCTATTAATTATAACCTAGAGGGATTATATTAGTAAACAAATGGACTACAGTATCTGAATGGAGGCCAACAGAGGGCTTCAGAAGGGCTACTCCGCATGCGCTGAGCATGGTGAGATGGACTGAGGCTACTTTTCACCTTCTCAGGTCGCCATGGTTTCTTATAACCTTAGAGGTTAGAGTCTGACACAGGCTGACTTCAGATCTCATGGAATTCTGGAAATGTTAAGAGACCCGTTCAATGTCCCACTGCAGGACAGAGAGGTGATGCCCTTTTCACCAGCCTGTGAGGCCTTTACCTACTTCGGGGTTTAGTGGATGTGACATTCATTAAATGCATTTTGGGTGAATGCATTTTTCTTGCATAACTGGATGTTTCACAGTGGCCCACGAGGTGAGCATTGTTTTAAGATCCAATTTGTGGATAATCTGTGTCTCTTGGTGGAAAGGGCAGGGGGGTCCATGATTCCATCTCACTCAGAGAACTTACTGTCTTCCTTCTTGCCAACTATTTAGGTTCTGTGCAGTTTCTGCCATTTTTACCTATTCTTGCTCTTCCTCATCTTTTTTGTTTTAGTTTAGACATATGAGTCCCTGAGGTATGTGGCATAATTGTAGACTACCAGGGATGAGTGACATTTTATGGGGCAGAATTTACTTTCCACACTTGTGTATGCCATTATGAAAAACTACTTATGATTGTCAATGAATGTTCTTGGAAATCATCTTCTCATGTAAATGCAGTTGAGCACTTAAAAAATAATATCAATGACATGTTTGCATTCCTGTTGAGCCTGAAGGTCTGCCTGACGTTGCCAGTGAAAATTTGCAGGGCTTGATTTTAAAATCTTGAGCAGTTAATATGTAATAGAATCAGCAGTGGCTGTCTTCCCTAAGCCCTGGAAGAACAGGGCTCTTCACAACTTATTTTGGAACATGCCAGGGCCATCTTTGATTAGCTTACCTTTATTTAGCCTTCTTTGTTAATTAATCGACCCAAAATTTAGCTGCCTAGTAACTTGGATGTTTCTTTAGACATCTTAATTGTGTAGGTCTGGATGTAACATTCACATTGAAAGTCTTTGTCTTTAAGTTTCAGAGATTTCTATTTATCCAGGGTAAAAAGTCAAAACTCTAATTGGGGTTAATATTGAGGCTCTCTCAGGCTCTATATTGGAAATGGAGGTAGGTGGTAAAGCTTAGAGTTTCATAGGTAGATTTTCATTTTCAAGATGTCTCTCTGCCCTGTATACATATTTTTATTAACATGCATAGAGAAATACAAGAAAGCAAAAGAGAAAAATATTTTGCAATGCGGAGAAATGCCTAATTGGTTCTCTTTTATGAAAATCTGAAACAATTTTCTTGCAGTAAAATACTAAAGATACTCATTGGCCCTCTCTTCTTTCTCTGGATTAATCAAGTGGGATTGCTGCCTTAAATTGCCCAGCTGGAGACCACTGGCTCACAGGACTCCAGGCTCATGTGTTGGGGCAAGAGTTAAACCCTGGGAAGTTGACAGAATATTCATCAAGTCAGGCTGTGTGCTTCTTGGGAAAACTGCCCCGCAGCGGGCTGTGTTTCTCTGGTGTCCATAAAACCAGTTCCACCCAGCAGCTCAATCTGTGGGTGCTGGGTATTTTGCTGATAGTTTTAAAATAGGGACTAGTTTATTACTATTATTTTTAGGATATTTTAGTGCCCAATTTTACACATGGTGTTAAACTACAGCATTTTCAGCAGAAATTAAAGCAAGTCCATCACTAACCAGGAAGTTGCTCTACCCCTTGCCTCTGGCCTCTGTGGTCACTTGGCACGGGCACAATTGCTTTTTGCGTGAATTATTTTTTACTCTTCATACAGGAAGCTGGGATGAGGATGAGATCTACTTGCAGCAAAGTAGAAGTGAAAATGCTTATCATGCAGGTGTGGTGCAGTCAGTAACTGGAGGAAGTAAAAGCTGCCCCATGAATTCTGAAGTCAGCCTTTGAGGTCTTCTATTTGTCTTGTAGAAGGTGGCTAAAGATGAAAGCCGAGAATCACAAATAGCATTCTCATGCTTTTCAATAGGTTCTAGGCAATCAGCTTGTGAACCTGCATCTAAATGTGCAGGATTAGTTTATAATAAGACTCATTCATTCCCATACTGAGATTGGCCCACAGTATCATTCTTGCAAATATCCTGATTCACAGAGAGTTCACGTGGTTTTCCATGGAATCTGCGCTAGAAACTACAGCCACATTTTAGAAGGGCTCAGTTTTGTATTGTTCTCATTTGAGGATCCTTTGAATCTTTGTCAGACTTACACAGGCAGTGCAGGAGAGTGGAGAAGAGCATTTATTGAGCTGGGAGGTCATGGGCCAAGGAAATTTTTATGCCATTTTACTTAATTTACTTCCCACGGGAACCTCCTGAGTTTTGGATTATTATGCCCATTTTATAGATGAGGAAATTGAGGTTCTGAGTGACTTGCCTTGGTCACAAAGCTTTTAGATAGAGGAGTTGAGCATCCGGCTCAAATACCAGTGCTCTGGAATTGTCCTTCACTGCTTCCTTGAGCGCATTGTTGCAGGGCACACCAGGGCTTCTGCAGGGTCTGTCCTGACCCGAGGACTCAGCATGCGGTCACCGGGCTGGGCTCAGGTGTAGCATGTGATACTTTGGCTAAAGAAGTTGGGCAGCTCATATTATAAAGATGCATCTGGTCCCATCTTTTGGGACATATGACATGAGTATTGGAAGACATCAAGGTATGGATAGTACGCCTCTTTGGGCCATTTCTGACATTCATGATTGTAACAGGTCAAGTTGTGTTTTATATGTTGCTTGGATGTTTTCCATTTACTTTTGTGGAGTAACCCATCTTTCATTGCACTCTTTTGCCTTTTTGTCTCCTTTCTTTCCCAAATACTCTTGCTTTAAGTGCACAGATTTCTGCAACCCTGACAGAGAATAGATCAACTTTAGATTAGCTCTTCTGCAGCTGGCTGCTCACATGGTAAAACACTGGCCTGAGTAAATCAGATGTGCAGTTTATATAAGTGAAAACTAGTGTGACTGTCCATTGACCTACTGTGTCTTTCCTTTTGAGGCACTAAAGAGCAGATGCGACCCTTTGAGCTGTCACATATTTTGACTTGATCCCTGTCTCATAGCACGGTTTGGACCCAAAAGGTAGAGTCAACCCTAAGCAATTCAGTGACTGTAAATATTACCTCATCCTTCATTGGAGTTTTCAGTTTGCTCTCTTAGAAGAGGAAACATCACTTGCTTCTTCTCACCACAACTTTGGAATTGTTTTCCTGGGAGAATTAGAGTGAGAAAATAGGGCCTCCCAATGACAAGAGGGGCATGGTTTTGCTAATCTCACTGAGTTCTTCTCACAAATAGAACCCACAGCATTGCCCACATGTTCCATTTTAATAATGGACATCCACTAGTATTGGTGGTTGTCTAACCATCCAGGCACTGCTGAAAGCTTGCCCTTATGATAAAGATGCAGCATTCGGCATTTGAATTGTTAATGAAACCCAATTAAAATGATACTTGGGTACATATTACACTGTCCATCAATGCTGGCTTTACCTTTCACACATATTTCTTTTAAATCAGAGGGCCCACCTGCCAGATTCTAGTTTCTCATGGGTGTCCCATATTTGACACAGGCCCTTCTACCACACTGGGTCACCATCTGCTGCTCTTGCATTGCCTCTGATCCAAATGAGAAGCTAAGTTGGTAAGATCAGAAAGGAATCAGGAAAAAAAAATGAATAAAGGAAAAAAAAAATGAATAAAAGGAGGGATTATATTTGGAGAAGATAGAGGATTCTGGGTACAGGAAAGCTATCTAGACAAGCTAGTTGTGTGCAGGTGGAGCTCTAATCTTATTTTATGAAAGAGGAAATAAAGATGAGCTAGACAGAGCCCTTGGCCAAGATCCTCATACGGGTACATCTAACCGGGCATTGGGTGAGGCAGCCAGGGGCAACAGTTATTTCAGCACAAAGCTGTTTTCAAAATCATGGCCATTCTCAACCCCAAGCCCCTTACAGGTCATGCCTGAATACCTTCAGTATGCCACATGTAAAAGTACACTGTGAGCAGATTGGACATGCCCTGTGAATGACACCTTATTTATTGTCATGACGCCCTCCCTTTTTCCGTCATGCTTTAGAATTACGGGCTGGAGCAGATTTTAATATTCTATTTATTTTAGGGGAGGAAAGTGTTTTTCTTTAACCACAACATTCATGCAATACCCACTGCTGGCAGTTTCCCCAGCATTTAAGGAAATATTGTTGTAGGACTTTTATGTTCTGTACTTCAATCAGCCAGAGCCAGCAGTATCCCAATAGAAGGACCCTCAACAGACCATTTTCAGTATTTTGCTACAATTAAACTCCTCTGGTTTTAGCCCTCAGGCAATTTAGTACCTTTTTACATATGCACATTATGAACTTTTGACCAGGGTCTAGCACTCATATATTAGAGTGCTGCTCTTGAAAGCAGGCTTAACAAGTTCCTCTGAGTATTGCAGTTGGAGTCAGTTGTGGAAAAGGTAATTTAAGCAACTTGCAGCGAGGCCATTCAGAATCTCAGCGATGATCCTAAATATCTCTCTTTCCCTCGCTCTCTCTCTCTCACTCTCCCACGTTTTTTTCCCTTGTTTCCTCTGGAAGCTGGTAGCAAGAGCTTTCACAGTCTGTGATTGATCTTTTATTCAGTAGCTAACGAGGGCTGTGATTCTATTAGCACGCTACAAGGCAAGAGAACAGTGATTTAATGAAGTGTCTAGTGAGCCGGCCATAGATTTATCCTGTTGTCGCTAATTTGCAGTGCCGTGGTGAGCATAAAGGAAACGGCACTCACACTGCTATTAAGCAGGTATTTCCTTAGTAAATTGTTGTAAGGTCAGGTACAGTTATCTGAGCAAAAGCAATGCCTTACCTCTTCAGTGTCTGCAAATGACAGCCGCCGTGCTGAGCACTCACCGAAGTGGAACCAGGAGATCAGAGGTCCGTCTCCAAGTCGCCCTTAGTGGAGGTGGGAGCAGATGAACTGCCAAGCAGGAGTAATAGAGTCATAATTGGTGATTAGAACTGGAAAGGTGCAATAACATCTTAATACAAACTGGCGTATGTTATAGTTACTGTCAGTTGTTGTAAACTTGCCCTGCCGCCTGGACTAGTTACGCTTCCCATGATTAGCTCTGAGAAACGAGGCAGCAAGCACTGTGACAGCCACACCGATACAAGCAGCCCATAGCTGCTTCCCAGGGTCTTGCCCTGTCCCTGCTGTTTTTCTTGGGCACCTGCACTAGACCCCCTTGGACCATGTCACGGTAACCTTTTCCCACCACCCTAGGAGGAGTGTGATTTCATTAATGTCCTCTGATCTCCTCTTTTTTTCCAGGCATGGTGACATTTATGCATGCTGGCTTTGAGGCTCGTTGAACTTTTGTTTTATTTGCTTTTGCTAAGGGGAGGTATTTGCCTAGTGTCAAATCCATATCCCACTGCAGTTCTGTGTGCACAGTAACAGATTTGGTCTTGCCGTGCCAGGGGAAAAAATGAAAGAAAATAAACACGCAGAACAGAAGAATTATACACTGGGGATCAGTGTTGTCCAGAGCACATGGAATAGTTCAAGTGCAGCACACGTGGTTGAGGTACCTGTGCAGTCAGTATAGGTGGCGGCCACCCTGGGTAAAGGTAATTGAATAAATTCTTAGACAGTGCTTAATGAAATGCCAGGACTGCCTAAAAAGACAACTCTTGAAAGCCGAGGTGTTCAGCTACATATTTGGAGACATTTCTGTGTCCTGCAGCGTAATTGCTCTTTATCTTCATAGAGGAAGCTCTCCAGATAGGTGGAGCCGATATCATTACTGATACTATTGATAGATATATGCCTGATTGTTTGTATTGTTTTGAGTGGGATAAGGCTGATCAGGATGCCTGGGCAAAGAAACAGGAGATAATGTGGTAAGGTGCACAGTTGCAGCCTGTCATCCGGCACACAGTAGTTTCTGAGTAAATGTTTGACTCTGCAGCTAAAGGGTTGTGGACTGAGGCTGTATCCCTGAGTTCTTTGCCTGATCCTTAAAACCCAGGTAAGGCTCACACTAACTTCAACCTAGGGCAGATATGTGTGTTGAGTTACGTGAAGTTTATGATCAAGAGAGGAAGGTAGATGGGACCTGATCGCAAGTCAGGCTCGCTGTCTCTCATAGTCCACACAAGCACCTTGCTGAGGTGACTGCATCGGAGTAGCAGTGACAGTTGAGGATAATATCCTGAGTGCTCTCTGTGTGCCCACATTTCCTTGAATCTTAACGGCGATCCTGCAAGATAGCCCGTTGTCTGGTTACAGGGCTGCAGTTGGGAGGTCATGTCAGGCGCAAGTTAGGATGTGGACCCAGCTTTGACTGGATTTGCCTTTCTTCCTGTAAGCACAGAAGTGATCCTAATGCCTCATGTGCTCCCTATCTCCTCCAGTCCTTGCTGGTGAAGCCTCAGCTTCCGTTTCTGTAAGGGACTCCGTTCATTCTTCTCGCTGGAAACGTGAATGCCACAGCCTGCCGTTCTGCTCTGGGACTTGATGTGAAACAGCTCTCAGCTTCATTCCCTAACCCCAAACTGAAAAGGTTGGGGCACTGTCCTTGAATAATAACCCACATAGACCCATAATCTCTTAATATAACTTGCTCTCCAGGAATGTTTCACATTTTCCACATCTGCAGCCTGTCTGGTGATTAGCTCTTCATGCAAATGCTCTTTGGTATGTGAACTAATGTACTTCGTTTTATTTGCCTGGCAAATAATGCCCATCATGGGAGTGTAATTGTTGTGTACTTAAAAAAAAGTATTCTATGTTTCATGGATTTTTTTCTCTTTCTGAAAAACTGAACTTTTGACTCAAACTTGGATTCATAAGGGATTTGTTTTTAAATTAAACGAGCCTAGCACACCAGACACAAGACGTTACACATTATATGATTCCGTTTATATAAAATATGAAGAGCAGGCAAATCCATTAGAGATGGAGTGGAGATCAGTGGTTCTCAGGGCTGTGGGAGGGAGATGGGGAATGACTGTTAATGGCTGTGGGCTTTCCTTGCAGGGTGATGAAAATATTTTGGAACTAGATGTAGATGATGGTTGCGCAACTCTGTGAGAGCCACTAACAATTGTACACTTTGAAATGCTCAATTGTATGTTTTATGAATTTCACTTCAATAAAAAAAGAGTGAGGCTAACACAAGGAGAAATATTTTAATGTGTGGGGCATATTAGATTGCTCATTTTTTCCCCTCCATCTGTCCTAAGTACTCTCTCTGGCCCTCATAGCACAGGCAGGAGGTGTCTGGGTGGAGATCATGCCCAGGTAAACCAATCTCAAAGACGGAAGCCAATTCCCACCCTGCATGGTGTTTTACACAGAGTCGTGGAAACAGGTGCTTATACTTACCTTATCATCTCACCACGCTATTGATTAGTTATGTGTTTGCCTGTGCTGTTAATAATGTATACCTTGAAAAATCCATGTGCATTATAGTCTTTGATCTTGCTATGTATTTCAGAGCCAGAGATTCCATTTTCCTTTTCTTTCTCTCTCTTTTTTAATTTTCAAAGAAGTAGAGCAGAAATAATTTTAAAACTTTCTTTCCCCTTTTCTAGTGGAGAACTTCCTGGGGACCTGCAATCATGTTAACAAAATACAGGTGTGCTGTGTGCTATATATACTAGTCATATGTACTCACGGATGCATACATGTACATACACACTCAGGTGCATAATGCATACATATGTAAGTGTTCAGATATGTATATGTGTACTCCCAGGCTAATACTTGTATATATATACCCATATCCATACATTCACACAGGCTAGATATCTCCAGAGAGAATTATAAATCACAAAGTGTTCAAGCCTACTATATTCTAGAGGTGAGGATTATCTGAATATAAGATTTACTCATCTCATAGATTAAAACAGAAATTAAAGACTTTAGATTAAGGCAAGATCAAAGGCCCTCTTTTCATTGTTCTTTTATTGTTTATTGACTTCAAAAAGACTTTTTAGTTTAAACTGACTTTAATGCCTCTTGAATGCTCTTTTGTAAAATGACTTTGAAAACTCCGGGATAATGTCTTCATTAAGTGGAGAAAAATCTTGGTAAAAATATAACTGTAACTTGGCTTTCATTAGAGTAGAAAGAGATAAAGCTTTGCTTAATTAATGTCTGTTTTCTCTCTGTTCAGAATTATAAGGATAAAGGGGGCTGAAATTAGTACTGATAAAAGCTTGAAATAGACATTATAACTGGAACTTTCCCCTGTCTTAGCTTTTAGAGGATTGTACTAAATACAAGTCTATGAATAAGACTGTGATAGTCTAGGTGTCCTGCCTTTTTACGTATAAGATGATTCCAAGCCCCATGACACTAATCACTCTGCTTTCTCCTTCTTTGGCTTCATTTTCTTCTTTTTTGTCTCCAACACCTATATAGAAATTGTTAATTCTTGGGGAGTGATGTGTTTTCTTTTCTACATAATAACTTCAAAGCCTTCCCTTCCTTTTCCTAAGTCATGAAGCAAAAATCACCTCTCTCAGCGTGTTTGTCCTAACTGCCCCCAGGAATGTCCCTGGCCTCTGGCCGAGGAAGGATTCCTTTTATTCCCAATCTTCACTCTTCTGTGCCTTTCTACATGTTCTTGGTTTAGCTTGTCTTTTCTAGAGAGCTGATCTGTTCCTTAAGCCTAGGTAAGCAGCTCAAGACTGCTTTTTTCTTTTAACCTTCATATGGAGTCAAAGACTGGGCTCCGATTTTGAGCCTCCAGCAATATAGTGCGCCTGTTGGTGAGGATTGTACCAGCTGGCTCCTCCCACCCTCCCAGTTTTATTGCAGTGGTGTGGGAGAACCACCCTGCAGAGCGCTAACTGAGCTTCTGGATTCATCCTTTTGCTTCCTCCTGAATGTAGTTCCAGGGACCATCTATCTCTTGGCGCACTCTCCACCCTCTTACAAGACTTCAGGCTCTTCCTTTTTTCAAGCCTAATAGTGAGAGGAAGCACAATGATAAGCAGAAAAAAAAGCACAAGATTTAGGATAAACATACCTAGGTACAAATGATCATTTTTTCTTTATACTCTCTGACTAATTGACAACGCATTAATTACTGAGCCTGCCTGAGTCTCAGTTTCCTCCTCCAGAAAGTGAGAATGGTTGTATTTATTTCAAAGCATTGTGGTTGGATCAAATGTGGTCGAACAGAGTGTAGGAAAAATCTGTGTTCTGGTTTTAGCAGCACTGCCGTCTACTTCTGCGCGGCAGCAGCTCTCCTCCAGCGCCTTCATTTTAGGCAGCTAACATTTGAAAAAGCCTCCCCTTTTGCCTCTTTTCTCCCAATTTATGTTCAAGAGTGAAACTTTCAGTATTGTGATGTCTTCCACCCAATGGATCTGAACCACTTGACTTAGCTATCTTTATTGTTTTTCTCAATAGATGGGTAGGTGAGTAGATTAATTTTGTTTTAACATCTGTGCAGTCCTGCTGGCCTTACTCTTTCTGAATGCTCATATGCCACTGAGTCCTAGATTTCAGGAGGCAGAAGTACTGTAAATTCCTCGATTTTAAGTGGCATGGATTCACTGCGGGATTGTTATGTAAACCCTCAAGGATATTTATACTTTCTCCTGAGGAGGGTAATTGAGCCTCCAAACCACCCACCATGATTTCTGCCTGTAAAATATTTAAGGACTGGTACTATAAAGACATTTCCCTTATGCAATTTGTTTTCCAAAGGGCCAGGAGAACAAGGAAAATATAGCTCAGCGTAACTTATGAAAACCAAACTCTTAACCTACAAACTCTGTCTCCTCACAATAGCACTTGGGGATGGGCTGAAGGCAAACAAAAAGTGAGCAGAAGGGAGGGTTCTGGAATTGAGATGGCAGGCTCCACAATTTACCGTGATGATGGTATTAAAAATCACCCATTCAGTATTTAGCCAGTCTTTCCCTGGAAGCATATCATGGAGTGTGCAAAAGAGGGTTTTGATAAAAGAAGTCTAGTTAAGAGATGTGAAAAACCTAAAAAACCTAAAAGCAGGGCAGTCTGCCAAGACATCTCTTCCTCACAGAGAATGAGGAGGCTATGGACTCTGCTTATGCCATGGACAGCTGGGTTGGCTGTGAGTTTTGTGTTTTCTTTCTCTGAGTTTGTAGAAGCATCGACAGGCATGTTTTCCCTAGGGAGAACATCCTCAGGAGCCTCAGCCAGTGAGCTGATGCTAGTTGACACCTGGTGATGATCCTCTGGTTGTTTGCTTAACAGATCTCAAATGAACCTGGCTTTAGAGTCAATGAGATG